TTCATGGTTTCAGTATAGACAAATTGTGGATAGGTGGAAGGTAGATTGCAATGTGGGTTTGCTTAGAGAAGATGAGAATTTTTTTAAACAAGTAAAAGATCAAAGACGAACTCATATTAAGAGAATTTATGGGGTGTTAATAGAATTGGATTCAGAAGCAGAATTAGTTAAAGAATGTATGATTAAATGGGCACAAAATTTTGGTGAACCAGTTTTATTAGATACTTGGGAAACTATTTGGGTGAGAAATGTTAAATTTACACAAGCCCAGAATTTAAGGGAGAACTTTTATAAAATGTTTTACAGATGGCACCTTGATCCACAAAAAATGTCTCATATGTATCCTGACTTACAGCCTAAATGTTGGAGATGTGGATGTTTGGATGCTACTTATTATCATATTTGGTGGTCGTGTAAAAATATAAAAGCCTTTTGGATTAAGATATGGTGGAACATTCAAAGAATTTTTAGAAGGAGGGTAAAATTTACCCCACAATTGTTTTTGTTAGGTATCGTTATTGATTGTGATATTAAGGAGACTACACTGATGTTAAATTTAATTACAGCCGCAAGGTTGTTAGTAGGCAATGTTGGAAGAAGGAATCTTTGCCTACTTTGCAAGAGTGGTTTCTTAAAGTTTCCTATTTGGCGGAAATGGCAAAGATTTCGGCTTTTTTGAAGGATCAATCGCAAGAGAAGTATGTTGTGGTATGGAAAAAATGGATAGATTTTATGCAATATAAGTTAGATATAAAAAAATATTTAGTTTTTTAACAATTTATATTTAAAATGGAATATTTTGGTTTTTTTTTCTTTCTTTTTTTTGTTCTTCTTTTTTCCCTTTTTTCATTCTTTTCTTTTTTAAATATTTATCTTTTGTATTTATGTTTCTTTTATATATATACTATTGTTAATCATTTTATAATTTTTCTAATTAATGTATTTAGATTTTTAACTAATGTTAGATATATTTATGGTTTATATTTTTTTTTAAGATTTTTTGATGAAATTCTAATTAAGCCTATATCCAGCTCTGGGAAGGTCGGGGGAGGGTTGGGGAGGTTGGGGGGAAGATTGTTTTTTTTTTTTTTTGTAAAATTGTCAAAATTTAATAAAAATTATCTTTGAAAAGAAGAACTGTAATAGGCTGTGTGTTTATCACCAGTAAGTAGTTAGGGGACCTGCCCACAGAAGGGAAAGCAATCTGTTGCTTTCCTGCTGTTGATGGGAGAGGAAAAGCAGCAAGAGAATCCATCAATCAAAGTCTGTATTAACTGTAGTTTAAGCAAAAGGCTTTGCCTTCACTGCGGCCAAAATGGAGACAGGATTAAGCAAGCTTCATTGTCACCTGTTTATGTAGAGGAGGCAGGGAGATGAAGGCTACAGTGTGGAAAAGCTCTTTCTTATCTATATCCACATGTCTTTGAGGTTTGTAGTTGGCCGTTCCTGTTTTTCTGCTCTAGTTACAGCTCTGCTAATATCTTTAATAAAACTACTTCATCCAAGAATTTCCATAGACATACTTCATCAAAGGGCTACATCCTTAAATTATTTCCTCATAGCCTCCTTGGGTGAAGCCCAACATTCTCAGGGACCATACATATGATAATGTACTGGTACTTGTGAACCGGTTGGGGGGATGGGAAACCACAAGAGTTTGTGTAATCCATGCAGAGTTACTCTTCCATTATTTTTTTTAAAAAAAAAAAACTGTGGGAGAGTAGAGAACTGACAATGGCAAAGTCAGTGCCATAGCCCATATCACCCAGGATTAAATAGAATTCCCCAAAGCTCCTGATTTATATCACTGAAATAGGTGCAAACATTGAGCTGAACCCCATCTTTGATCCAGCAAAGGGGTCCTTCTGGTCCTTTTGGATCTGGCACAGTTTTTTTTATAGGTTAAATATGGTGGAAACTATCCTCGTTGTTTTTCTCTGCAGCCCCTGAAAAGCATGCCATGCAATTATGGGACCCCCTAAAGCAGGGTTTCTCCATCTCAGCAACTTTAAGATGGCTGGGGAATTCTGGGAGCCTGAAAGTAAAGATATTTTGTTTAAAAAGGACAAAACTGTAGTTATCACCATTAAATCAATGAAGGCACTACAGTATATGCTTCAGAAACAAATTGTAAGATTCAGTGGGGCTTACTGCTAGAATAATGCCACTTCAAACTTCATTGAGGTTAATTCAAAATCTCCAGATGAGCATAATAATAAATAATCCTTTATAAATAATAAAGGATTCTCTCCAGCTGACAGGGCCAGACTTCTTTGCTTGAATTACATACAATGCGAAGAAGTTCTCATTTTTAAAGGAAAATAAATACCGGTATATTAGCGAAAGAAACAGAATGCACATTAAACCCACTGTTTTGCTATGGAGAACCTAGCCAACAGAGATGGACTGCTGTGTTTAGTTGTTACATATAAGCTGGCAATCATTTTCTAAGGCTCAATGGATGATGACAGCAGATGCAATACTATTAGCCAGGACCACAAGGCTGCTCCAAATTGTACTCCTAGAAATTGTGTAGCATTTTTTTAAAATGAACGTACACTAACAATATCTCAGTTTTTCCTCTTCTGTTTTGTACAGAACGTTTCTCTTCACCCTCATATTTTCTGCCTTCTATCATGAAGGTTTCTTCAAGATTATGTCTAGGCTCAGAACAGATTTTGATACAACACAAATGTTGGGGAAAATAAATACAGTGCACAGGTATACCCCATGTATATTTGTATTTCCTCTTCAATTGCAGCTCCATCTTATCTGAAAAAGAATTCCACATCTCACAAAAGTTTTCTACTGTGGAAGATGTGTAATTCTTCTAACGGATAACATCTATTTTGTGTATTCTTTTCAAAGAAAGAAAAAACAGAGCTCTTTAGTCAACTGGTTTCTTATACTGTTAACAATGACAACTCTCCTCTTTAACCACGTACTGGTGTACAACAGTCAGTGTCCATGGTAACTACATCCATTAATCATACTTGCTTGATGGCCGACATGATCAGCTAGTATCCACTTGAGATGTCATTCATATACTTTTATTTAGAATGGTGAAGGCTCTGAATAATAATTATATGCTAAACAGATACTTGTGACCCATAAAGGTGAGGAAAAAAATTAAAATTGAATACTGATGAGCATGTCACATTAGTAAAAAGCAATGCTTTGTGAGAACCCCAGAAGCTTTGTTCAAGTACTGATTATGGCTTGCTTCTTTGTGACATCAGCTCTGCAAGATTAATGTCATCTGTTGCAGGATTTTTTCCAAAACGCTATAGCCCCAACGCTGCATAAAACCTTACTTAACTGCCAGATCTAAAATGTACAACTTAGAACCAAGTCTTAAGTGGCATTTGAGAAAGGCAAGCAGATTAATCATACTAGAAGGCCAAGCCAGAATATTTTACAAAATCCTTTTCCAGAATCAATTTATTAGGCAATAGATAAAAAATTATTACACATTCGCTATACGAAAATTAGAAATCTTCTCTTACAGTGTGCTTTCTATTGTTGCATGCATCACAATTTTTCAATTTGCCTAAACATCACTCAAATATATTGTGGGATGGATGGATACACACACACACACACACACACACACACACACACACACACACACACGAATGAAATGGCATTTTCCCTGCAAATAGCATCCTCATTGCTCTTGTAAACAATCATATGAAATGACAACCATACAGAAAGCTAAAGTTTCCTGTAACAGAAACATAACAGTGTTTATCACTCATTGTTATCAGTGGCTCAAACATTTATCAAAATCCTAACAAATGGGATATACTCGTCTGAGCTGGACAAACTTTCTACATCCAATTATTCCCGCTGAGTAGGAGTAATTAAGAATTTCAAGGAAGGATTTTTCTCCAGCAGTCATTCTTCTGATTTACCTTGTGTAGCTATCTCCAAACATGTCCATATATTCAATTCCCCAGACTGCATGTCTCTAATATCAGTTGTTAGGACCAGCTGTGAAGAGGTTACTGTGCCTATGGAAATTCCCCCCCCCCAAGATATCTAGGTCAGCGGTCCCCAACCCCCGGTCCTTGGACCAGTACCGGGCCGTGGCATGCCAGCAACTGGTCTGCACAAACAAGCAAAGTCCCATCCATGGGATGCAGGCAGCACACAAAACCACGCACCCTCTGGTCCACAGAAGAACCTCTCTCCCCAGAACTGTCCCTGGTGCCCAAAAGGTTGGGGACCTCTGATCTAGGTGACTATTATGTGAAATAAAATTAAATGAGACAGGCCAGAGACAAGCTATTTAAGCATTGTTATGCTCCTGGACAACTTCTACAGGGAGAAAGCTCACAAGACACAGAGGCCAGCCCTGCTCCCTCCTGTTGACTTATGGTGCAATACAAACCACCCCACATTTTATGACACAATGTCACTTCCCCTGGGCCAAGCCTTACATCGTCACCACTCTGTAATTCCCACCCCTGTCACTATTGCCCTTGATAATGACAGTGACATGGCGTTCTGGTAATCTATACAAGTAGTCCCCAACTTACAACCATTTATTTAGTGGCCATTTGAAGTTACAATGGCATTGGAAAAAGTTACTTATGACCCTTTTCACACTCATGACAGTATGATGATGCAGCATCCCTGTGGTCATGTGATCAAAATTTGGGCTCTTGGCAACTGGCATTCATTTATGACTATGGCACTGTCCTGGGAGATCGCCATTTGTGACCTTAGCAGGCTCCTGACAACCAAAATCAATGAGGGAAGCCACATGATTCACTTAACTTCTGCAGCAATTCACTTAACAACTGTGGCAAAAAAGGTCATAAAATAGTGCAAAACTCACTTAATAATTGCCTTGCTTAGAGACAGAAAGTTTGGGATCAATTGTGGTCATAAGTCAAGGACTACCTGTAATTGGGCAAGACACGTTTTCATACTTGTCTGTGTTTTGGGCTGGACAAAGTGCAGGTTTTTGGAAAGCCCAACCACCTGGAACTCACTTCTTCCACAGTCCTTTATGTTTTGACTTCACAATTTCCTGTAAAATGTAACTCAGTCGGTCATCTGGAGTCTTTTGGGCAGCACTCTTCAGCCCTTGAATTTCAAGATCCTTCTGATGCAGCAAAAGGACCAGTGAACGATAGTTTTCCAGCAGTTTGGAATCCTGCGGCACAGAACTGGTTTCCCTGTTAAGGAAAGAAAGCCTAGTGGTTATCATGCTATCACCCTCAAGGGGGAACTCTTGGGCTTAGGGAATAGGACAGCTAATCATTTGTCAGAATAAAGATAGACAATAGGGTATTGTTACATCAAGTAGCCTGAAGGGAGAGACATTTTTCCTGCTTTGTAAATCCACAGACAGGTGGGCAGATGCTTTCTCTGAGTAGAAACTAGTGGCAAGGCTAATTCAAAATATCCTGATGCCCCAAGAAGGATTTATTATACTACAAATCCAGGACAAGAGAACACGGTCATCTCCAGCATACTGTAGGTGTGCCATTCTCCACCATCTTTAAACACTTATGACCCATTTTACCAAATGACAGTTCATTCCCTGAAGCCAATGGTCATTTTCCCTGCATCATCTCTAGTCCAGAATGTTTGAGGGTATGGCAAATGCATACTTTTCTGCAATGAAAATTAGGTGGTAGAGAGAATTCTAGCCTGATTTATTTTCAAAATTGAGGGAGGGTTTTTTTTTGGGGGGGGCAGGTCTTTTATACAGAGAGGAGGGAAGGAAAGAAAGATTCAGTTATGCTAGTTTCTCACCTGCTCTCTGAAATCAACCAGCCAAAAAGACGAGTTTATTATTGCTATGAGAACTCAGTTACTGTTCCCTAGCATCAGGTGGAAAGTCCCCAAGGTGGCTTTTAGTGCTGTACTGCCCTGTTTTATCTCTGTGTTGCAGGGAGATGGTCATAAAACAGACAGACTGAGCACCCATCTGGATTTACCTGAAAACAGACAATCCAGGATAATTTTGGTAAGTGATCTGGATGGTTATCATACTGCATTTTCTTCTTCTTTTTTCTATGGGACACTATAGATAAATTTGCTTATCCCGATCCTTTACTAAGATTCAGTTGTTCTTAGGTCATTTTCAATATTGCAGTAATGGACAGAACTGCAATACTTTTTGGAGAGTCAAAAACAAAGGATCGAATCTCCATAATTCAAGTCCCCATAAACTCATTTGGTGACTTTAAGCCACTCACTGGTTCGTTCCGAGGATTAAATGAGAAGTGAGCCAAACCACACTGCCTTGAGCTTTTTTGGAGAAAGAGAGGCAACATAGTAAATCCAAGAAAGAAGTAACTTTATAACTCAATCTCAGTGTCCCCAATGGACCTGGAAACAGCCGCTGACCTCTCAGACTGTTGATTCTGAGGATTTTAAAAAAAAATATTTGATATTTTTTTTAAAAAAAAATATCCCCAACAATTGTTTTCCCAAAATGACCTATCAAACATTTTGAAGCAAAAGTTAAACAAAATTTAACTAAATGCTGCATCTGAAAGTAGCAATAACCTCTAGGCAAAAAAAAAAAAAAAAAAAAAAAAAAAAATGAAAGTAAAGATTCCCTGCCAATCTTTTTGGCAACATCATGGAAATGGCTTGCTGTTGCCTTTTCGTTGGATCTTTTATTCCCAAGCCTAAATAACAGCCTTGGGGTTTCCTATCCTATCTAGCACATTCCTCCTATCCCTGTACTAATCAGGTCTGATCTTGCTTCCTACCCACCCACCCCTTTTAGGATCAGTCTGGTCAGCAGGTACCCTCAGTCCCCTACAAGTACAGTCCAACGGGGACCTTTTTTCCCCTTTCAACTACAAGATCTATACAGGAAGAAGGCTAAAAAGAAGAGTTGGCCTGACTCGGATAACCACCAGCTTTAGGACGCACCCAGCTACCGCAGTCGAACTCCTGAGAGATCGTCTCTGAGGGGACATGCTCTTCAGAAGCCAAAAATCAGGAAGCTGGATATAAACCTGTACTTGGCACAATTCACACAACACACTAATCAACCAGCCTGGCTAGCAAGAGTGCACACATTCTCATATCTATCTGGTGCAGCCACTTAATTGGGCCAAAGATTTGTCTAAGGTCATTTGAATCACAACAGCCCAAAGTAGTTTTAAGTTATTTCAAGTTTAAATGATAGAATTAGCTTCTGATCTTCTTGGGTAGAAAGCAGGCAGGACTGGATAAGTTGGTAGTGTATAATCTCATTAATCAGGCTAGCTGGCTTAGTAATAATAATAATAGTAGTAGTAGTAGTAGTAGTAGTAGTAGCAGCAGCAGCAGCAGCAGTAGTAGTAGTAGAGGTAGAGTTGGAAAGGACCTTTGAGGTCTTCTGTCCAGCCTCCTGCTCAGGCAGGAAACCTTATGCCATTTCAGACAAATGGTTGTCCAGTCTCTTCTTAGTTTATGGGGGGAGGGAAGCTGCACTCCTAATTCCATGTTGGCATGATAAACTCTTATTGTTGGTCATGTCTCCTCCTAACTCATGTGTGTGTGTGTGTTTGTTTATATATCTATATCTTTTCTGTGTATGTTCCTGTACATGCATCAAGACACTTCTTCCTGGCCTCCCATCTGTTGGATTAATTATATCTTGCCTGCTATTCTTAACCCTCTTCAACAGCCTGCTATTTCTCTTTCCTCCCACCAAGGTCGGCTTCTGGGGCTCCAACAAGCAGCAGTTCTACAATTTCTGGGCTCCTCAAGGCTCCACGCTTCCTCTACTTGTCTCCACCTGTCTCCCCATTCCTTCCACATGATTTCATCGATCTCCCATCTGGTGATTTTGTTTTGTCTTGATATATTTTAGTTGCCATGGGGAAAAAGAATAAGCAGGGAAGAGAAGGTATGCAACTTTGGCTGCTGGATCAAAAGAAATAGCGGGAGTGTGTGTGTGTGTGTGTGGGGGGGAGAATTAAAAAGGAAAGAATTAGCCCTTTTCCCTACGACAGGGGTCTTCAAACTTGGCCCTTTTATGACTTGTGGACTTCAACTCCCAGAATTCCTCAGCCAGATACGCTGGCTGAGGAATTCTGGGAGTTGAAGTCGACAAGTCATAAAAGGGCTATGTTTGAAGACCCCTGCCCTAGAACAACCAGATGTAGACTGTGAAAATCTGGGCAGTCTCTAGATGGCAGAAGAGCAATATAGAAAGATTGATCCCTTTGCTGGTAATCTGAAGTTTTGCCAGCCCTATTCTTGTGCAACTCTCCTTCAGAAAAACAAACTTTTTTTTCTCAACTTAGCCCTGAACAAAGGAAAGAAATTAAGCTTATGAGAGCTTCTCAGGCTAGTCAGCTGTTATCCACTTTCAGGGCAGAAAAGTATGCTGAGTGCTCCTCTCCCTTTAAACTACTGCATGGAAGAGCTGCAATTGCAAATGTTCCTTGTCATGTAGTGCCACAAATTCTTCCTTTTGTGCAAAAAAGGCATAACATGTACTTCTTTTTAAATGTGACAAGTAAGATCCTATAACTTTTATACAAAGTAAAAAATAAACACTTACCAGCAATTCAGAGGACTTTTTTTTTACCCACAGGAAAGAATACGTTTCTATAAGGAGATGAGCTAAAACTTATTCCACACACAAAGCAATACAACAATCCATTTATTACAGCCAAAAGCCACACATAAATCAAACATCCAAATAAAACAAAACTAAACAGAACCATCACAAGTGGACATAGCAATACATCACATATCAAAAACAAGCTAGCTTCAGAAAATCTGGATCATACTGCCCTAACAATAAAAATACATTGAGTATAGTCTAAAACCGGATAAAACACGTAATGAAATCATTCATAAAAGATTATTAAAAAGATCTAAAATGATTATGTTTCTGGCGACTCCCCGATGCTGCTGCACAGAATCTAGCCCACCTGCGGCGTGATCTCTGCAGCAAAGCAATACTCTACTTGCATTTGCTCTGGGTCCAACTAATCCCTGTCCATAATCATACACTATTCTATGGGCTAACAGATATGAGCTGCAAAAATCCAAATGCTCAATAATGGTACATCAGATCTTTGCAGTCCAGAGCTGATAGTCCTAGCTAGGCTATAATATGGTTTAGTTTTGGAATATGGGTTACTGGGTGAATCTGGCCTCTGTAGATAGCAAACCAGTTTCTGGCTGAGTTTGATATAACATTATCCAACAGTGGTTTACTCAACAAAGTATGACACAGCTTAGTGCAATGTGTGAACCCACATGGATGATGATAAGATGAGCTTGCTGATGCCAAAAGATACATGCCGATTTCAACATTACTGATAAGAAACCATGTTACTGATTAGTGCTGCGAATGTTTGAAAGAATCAGTAGGTGGATAATGCTTACTTCTTAGACTGTGAAGAAGCAGCAGAGTTTTCTTCACTTCGGTTTTCAGTCCCAGGGTAGAATATCATGCTGACCCTGGTGATGTAGGGTTTCTCGTTTTCTTCCCACTGTACATCAAGTTTGTTAGTATCATCTCCATCTTTTTCTTTTTGAAGTTCTTCTTCAGCCTTCAAAAGAAGACTTGTCCTTTTTTCCCTTGGATTAAAAAAACAACATGAAATGTATGGCTTTACTATAGGTATTCTGACTTTCTTCAACTGAGTGTCCTTCAGCTGTTGTGGATTATACAAGGAACTGTCTTTTCTCAGTAGTTTCTCCCTATGCAATCCAATCCAACATGTTGAGCATGGTTCAGGTCCCATCATCCAAAGAATGTCAGTTGAAAGGGACTGGAAGATGGGCCTTTTCTGGAGGAGCCCCTCTCCTTTGCAACATCCTTCCTTCAGAGAAGTATGGTCCCAACCCTGTTGGCCTTTTGTAAGGTTTTAAAAACTTGGTTATGTAGCTGGGCCTGGGGCCCCAAGGATGCCATTTCTTGGCTTTCTTGACAATTGTTATGATAATTTTCTTGGCAGCTGCATATATTTATTTTGTACTGTTTTTAATTGTTTTAAAACTATTTACCACTCAGAGTCCCTTAGCTGAAACGGGCAGCTGTAAAAAATTATTTAATTAATTAATTAAAAACAAAATACTCTGGATTTGCAAAATCTTTGGAAAGAAATTCAGGAAAGTCAAACAAAAATCAGAAAATACACCCTTAATGTAAGCTTGGCAAGAAAGTTCTCTGAACATTTGTCGGTAGCTGCCAATTTTCTATTATGGATTCCTTTTTTTAAAAAAAAAAATCATATGACCCCATTCCCAGTTTTATTATTATTTACATGTATTTCTTTCCAAGGTTTTCGCAGAATGGGTTGGAAAATTCTATATCAGAATTGATTTCACTGAAAAACATAGAACCACAGAATCATAGGATGGGAACGGACATTGGAGGTTTTTTTAGTCCCTCAATATATGAGCTAGAATTCCTTAAGAGTTTTAATAACATTTCCCACTAATTAAATAGCAACTGTTTTTCTATCACACAATCATCTCACATGATAGTATGAACATGCTCAAGACAAGATTTTGCAATAAAGACTTCAATAATGCATAGAATGAGATTTGCCAAATGTCCAAGCTAGATTCCTGAAGACCCTGGAATTAAATTGCTAACATCTGATGGTAAACAGAACAGGCAACAGACATTTTTTTGTTTATAAAATAGGGATAGACATATTTTTGCTTCTTTGATTATATAAAGACTATTGACAAAATTACAACAGCCTTTTGCTAGCTCTTAAAAACATTAGGATATTTGGCTACCATATCTGCCTATAAAATAATACGTTGACTAGGACCAATACTTAGAAGAAAATAGGGAACAACAAAACGATTCAAAATTGGGAAAGGAGTGTGCTACAGTTCTATACTGATACCTTTTTAAATGTATATGCAGAATATATATATTGACAAACATTAGCCTATAAGTAATAGAACTGGACTTCAAATTGCTAAGAGACATCTCAATCAGCTCGAATATGTTGATAATACTGCTTTGGTAATGAAAAGAGAAGAAAACCCAAAACTACTAAAAGTGAAAAAAATGTTCAAAACCAGGGCTGTTCAGAATTAAAACAATAACAACCTAATATTGTATCTATATCAACGTCAACACAAACAGATGAAGGAACAGAAGATTTTATGTTCCTAGGTTCAAAAATTCACAGAGATTCTGTTAGTAGCCATGAAATCAAAAGACTTCTATTATGAGAGGTTTAGGCAAAATATTAAACTGCAGAGATATTACATTGACCAAGGTGTCAGTCAAGGCAATGATTTTTCTAGTTGTAACAGCTGTGAAATCTGGTGTATTTGAAATCCTGAAAGAAGACAAATTTAAGCTTCTGAATTGTGGTGCTAGAGAAAATTGTTAAGAATATTTGGGCCACACTCACAATTCATACACCAGTAATGAATTGGATGCATTAAGAACAAAATTAAAGCTTAAATATTTTGGGGCATGTAATACAAACTGTTAAGTCCTCGAGTTAATGGCGAAAGAAGAACACACATTCTGGAGCCAACAACTGCTTTATTCTTTTCTGCTCACTTCAACACAACTCTGAGGCTCGCAGGCCTCTCTCACACTAAATAGAATCCCTGGGCAAAAAGGTTACAAGAGATGGCGCGCTTTCGCGCCTTGCGCATGCATGCAGGCTGATGCCACTTAGTCTGGTCCCGGGCAGCTTGCAACAGCCTGGGACCATAGCAACGTCCCCAGATAAAACTTAATCAACTTATACAGATAGGTATACGCGACCTCACAAAGGAACATGGTGTGCTATTCATATTGAACTGCACATATTGTTGAAGCTACTTCATAGCCACTCTATAACATAGTACTGTGCTATTGTTTTGGAATTGAGTGTCCAATACCCACAATTCCAACTCCCCCAAGTAGTAGGTACCTCTCTCATTTCCCTTGGCTTGACAGCAACTTCACATAATCTCCAAGGTGTTTGGGAGGTCTTCTAACTCGCTGTGACCTCCTCAGATTTTGAGAACACCCTTGACCTTCCTGTGTAGTTATTGTAGTGGAGTTGCCCCCTCTTTGTTTCCCTGGTGGTCCCCGTGACCTGGGTTCTGTTGCCTGGTCTGCTTGCTTGGCCACCGGGCTTGACAGACCAGGGCTTTGCTCCATACTGTACCTGGTTGATCTGCCTGAGTGTAGGCTATCGAGACCCTCTACGTCCCACTCAGTATTTTGTGGTTCTATGGTATTCTCCAACTCCACAATGGACCTATCATGGGAACATAGTCCCTCACTCCCAAGCCCAGTAGATGGGTTGTTTGGGGTCTCTGCAGTGCCTCAGTATTCTATTGCCCCCCATTCAGTGCTGGAGGTACCAGAATCAGGATTTGCCTCTCTGTCTACCCCCTTGTTTACTGACTTCCTTTTGGGAGCAATTACAGCATTTGGCCAGTTTGTTTGAGTAGATGCCAGTTCTCTGGTGTGATTTGGGTTGTTTGGATGCTCCCGGTTATTCTCCCTGTGTAGAGTGCTGTATTGGGGTTGTGAATAGTGTGAGTACCCCCTGAGTGACTCCCTGGCTGGAGTAAGTAATGGTGAATGCATTATTCCTTGTTCCCATGAATTCCTGTTAGGTACACTTGCGGAACCTTGGGAGGGGCCTTCCTCTGCCTCTCCATTTGCCCCTGACTGCTGACAGTACCCTTCCCTTTGCACACAATGATCCCCCTCCCCTGGAGAAAACCCAGGAGTGGAAGAGGAAGAGTCCAGTTTCGTACACAGCTGATTGATATGCTGCTGAAGGACGCGGCCATCGTCTAGAGACACCTCGTAGGACAAGGGACCAGTGACCTTGCAGACCACAGCCAGAACCCACAGGTGACCGGGCCCATAGTTCTGGGTCCATACCGGGGCACCCACTTGCAAACACCTTGGTGCCCTTGGTTGCGAAACCCGAGGCGCCACTCTGTTCGGGTGCAACCTGTCAAGTTTGGTGATCAGTCTGCGCTCCCAGTGAAGTTCTGCAGGGCTCTTCCCAGTGGAAGTACACGGTGTGGTGCGGTAAGCAAGAAGAAAATCTGCCAACCTGTGATGCCAGTCACCGTAAGTCAATTTCTTGAGGGCATCTTTGGTGATGCGCACCATCCCTTCAGCCATACCATTGGTGGAAGGGTGGAAAGGGGCCGAAGTCGCATGATGGATCATGTTGGCCTGCAGAAAAGCCTGGAACTCAGAAGAAGTGAATTGAGGACCGTTATCTGAAACCAGAACATCTGGAAGGCTGTGTGCAGCAAAAATTCCTCTTAATACCTGAATGGTCTTGGCAGTAGTAGTGGAGGAAACAGGAACAACTTCCAGCCACTTTGAAAGGCTATCAACAAGGACCAAGAAGAATTTCCCCTGAAAGGGCCCAGCGTAATCTATATGAACTCTAGACCAAGGTGATTGTGTTTCCTCCCACCTATGCACAGGGGCCTGAGGCATTTCTGGCCATGAACGCTGGCACAAGTGGCATCCATGCACCTGGGCCTCTATATCCTTGTCTAACCCTGGCCACCATAAATGGCTGCGTGCAAGTGCTTTCATCCTGAAAATGCCAGGATGACCCTCATGGACAGAAACCAAGATCCTAGGTCTCAATGAGGTAGGAATAACTACTCTGCTGCCCCACAACAGGCAACCCTCAAAAGTGGATAACTCATGCTCCTTGAGCCAGAAACTTTGGAACTCCGTACCTGGACTCCTCTCAGGCCATCCAGATAAAACCCATGAAAGCACACGTGCAAGTGTTAGATCTGTGGCCGACTCTGCAGCCACATCTCTGGCATTTAGGGGAGATTCAGGCAATGCCTGAATGGAGAGAATATTGATGGCAGGAGCAGGGTCTGCTTCTACCAGCTTCAGAGGTAATCTGCTTAGACCATCAGCATGGCCCATGTCTTTACCAAGTTTGTGAATCAGTGAATAGTCATAAGCTGACAAAAAAATAGACCACCTCAGCATTCTGGGAGAGATAATATGGGGGGTTTGTTTGTTAGTTGTAAACAACCCCAGCAGAGGCTTATGGTCAGTGTAGACCGTGAAATGTCAGCCATATAAAAAATCATGGAATTTTTTTAATTCCTGCTACTATGGCCAATGCTTCCCTGTCTATTTGAGCGTAATTATGCTCAGCAGAGGATAGAGTTCTGGAGTAATATGCTACAGGAACCTGAGTTCCATCAGACCTCAAATGGCTAAGTACAGCTCCCACCCCATAAGGGGATGCATCACAAGCGATGCAGACAGGTAGGTTTTCATTGAAATGTGCAAGCACATCATTGGATGTAAGCAAGGCCTTGACCTCATTGAAGCTCTTTTCGTGGACTTGGGACCACTGCCAGACTGCCTGCTTGTCTAAAAGCCTATGTAGCAGTTCTGCTACAGCAGCTTTGTTAGGTAGGAAAGCGTTGTAAAAATTCAAGAGACCTAGGAAAGCCTGCAATTAACTTTTAGACTTAGGGCTAGGAGCCTGCTGTATAGCTTTTAATTTAGATTCAGCAGGGTGAATACCCTGGGCATCTATTCTGAATCCCAAAAAATCTGTAGAAGTGACTCCTATCTTACATTTATCTTTTTT